TAAATTTTTCAAAATTTAAAACAATATAAGATTAAAAAATTTTAATCAAAATAAAAAAAAACTTAGTATAGCAGCGAAGCGATTATACCATTCACAAATAAAAAAGGTTCGCAATATGTATGTATGTACGTTAAGACAAATGAGCAGCTTCTTAGGGAGAAAAGGGCGTGTGCAAAATTTTCAAAGCAATGGCTCAAAACCTGAGTGACTAATTCGCTTATATACAGGCAGACAGACTGATCCTGTTCAGGGTTTAATTAGTTATGTTTTTATGTAACGAATTTAAATGAAATGTACTTTCGTACAAATATTAATGATGATATGAATATTTTAGTATACCAGGGTTCACCATCTTATAATGGTCAGGATTTATAAGAACTTTATCGAATTTGTAAATTTATTTTTACTTAAAAATTATTAACTGTTTTTAATAAAAAAAAATTGATGATTACATGAACGAAATATTTTTAAAATTATTTAACGACTTTATTTAACTGACTTTTTTCTACATACATATTATGTTTCTTTAAAAAGCATAGCAAAACATAACCTTTAGAGTCATTAATAAGTAAAATACTTTCCATGGGAAGATTTAAACAAAAACAAATTAAATTACAAAAATAGTTAAATAAAACAACTGAAAATCGGTTATAAACTTGAAGCATTTCTAAATGTAGTACTATCCTTATGAAGATTTATAAAAATTTTGAATGAGAAGCTAAAAAATAAGTCAATGTAATTCCTAACTTGAACTCAGTTATGAACTTGAAGTAACTCGATATATTGAAATAGTTTATATACATACATAAATACATATATATGTATGTGCTTAGTATTAGTTTATAAAAATTCAATTCTTTTTTATTTGAATTTTTCCAACGCATAATTATTTCCAATAAAACGAAAAATGACACCAAATCCTGCCGCTTTCTATAAACAACATCAAAAGAAAACATATCTCTATAAAAATATTTACGATAAAAATAATTACTTCTAAAATGTTTGTTAGTACAAGCGTCATATGATCGCGCGCATAAACACGCCATAACGCATTTGTAATTTTGCACCAAATATCTGAACCTCAGCGCCCTGCTATTTACTCAATTCAATTTACGGCATGGTAAATACACTTATACATATGTGTGTGTGCACATAAATGCCACTGTATTTGTAATCACTTAAGTWTTTGGTACATACTTATACATAAGTATACATATAGAATATATAGTATTATTCTTTATTTTTGAGACCTGCACGTAGACGGCTTGAGCGCACTACTCTCGCATTTTCTTGTTATTTGTAGTTCTCGTCAAAGCGAATGGCCTATGAAGGTAACGCGATGACAATGTGGTCACGAAAGCAACCAAGCAAGCGGGTGCCGGCTGTCGGCAGCGCTCACATACGTTAGCTACTTATGTATTTATCATGTGTGAGTGAAATTGTGCGACAACCGCAGTAAAAATTTGATGGAGTCAGAAGGTAAAAATGATTTAACCTATATGAAGCACTACCATATATAGATATATGTTCGAAAAATTAAAAAAAAACACTGTTGTAGCGAAATTGTCGAGAAAAGGTCAAACTCCTCCCACATTTTATCATAACTGGTAGGCGCTGTGCTTGCATTACCGTTACGCAAAACCAAATTTCGAAGGAAAAAATAACTGCACGTACTTCCAGCCAATATACCGTTTGGTATACTAAATAGCGCTACATACCTTTGACATTTTGGTAGACATCCTGACTCTTGTCCCAGGCCGCGCCCACAACTGGCAACTTAATAATACGCTCCAGTGATTCTAAATGTGGCAAAAGATTCTGCACATCTTTGGCCTGTTCGATGGCAACTGTGCCATTAGCCGGAGCCACAGTAGATTTGCTTTCGCTCGCACTTGCAGCCATTTTAATTTTTTATTATTTTATTATATAAATCTTGTGCTCCAAACACTTGCACCAGGAAGTTCTTCAAATGTTTATTATTTTAGGTTTTATACACTTGCTTTTGAAATTGCACAATTTCACAGTCTTTTACTTGGAAAAAATATACTTGAATTTATAAAATCAGCTCGTTATATTCGCTAATAAACTCTCACGTACGAATGTGACACGCTTCTGACTGGTCCGTAGCTCTGCACTTGGGTATTATATGAGCAAAAGCCGCAGCCCAGACAAGCACACGCGCATATGCAAGCCGAATTGAGTGTGCGCTCCATAGCTTTTCGCTATGGAGAGCTGCATTTGCGCTTGTTGCTAACACGATCGTACCCAAATTCTCTGTTGGTTTATCGCTCACCTATTTTGGCGCTCTCCCCATTTACTGAGTTAGTTTCTCGTATTGCAGGCTTTTGGGGCGAATAAGTTGGTTGAGTCAACGGCTACTCCCTCGCTTAGTTTTCCGACGTGTCTGTGAGTGTACATGGGTAGGAAACTACAGTTCTATGTCACCTCATATGACAAATTTGGAGTATTGGACTCTGAGTTCGTAGTACAAAGCGTATGGCGCGTAGTTGAGGGAAGAATTTAATGAAGAGTAAGAGCTTAACTGAGTTAATTTGTGTCTGCTTATTTATTTGTTTGCTCTTAAAGAATGCGCTCATCGGCTATAAACTGGGATTTTCATTTTAATTCCGGCATGCGGTGAGATGCAAACTAAATGCACGGGTCGACAAATACATATTTTATAGAAGTGAGTATAAAACAAAGATGGGAAAGTTGCACAAATCAACTTTGGCACAAATTCGCTGTGTAGATACATATGTATATATACTTACATTCACATACATATATAGATACGTCAATATTACATATTCAATTTATGAAATGCAATACTAAAAATTATGGCTTTGAAAGTGTTGCTAAAAATAAACTTTGGTGATTAATTTTATAAGTACATTTGAAATTATCAGCTAATTGGCATCACCTTATATTTATTTACAAATGTGTAGCAAATTCCACCATATCTTTGTTTTTGCCCTTTGTCGAAAATTTTTTGAACTTTGGAGCAAGAGTAGTGACGAAATTCACAATTTGAAACGATTAGAACAAGCCAGTGACGCACAGTGTCATATATTCACTCATGCTAACGACAAATTTAGAAGAGACCACTCAGCGTTTTTCGTCAAGGTAAGACTGCCGAGATGTTTCAACCTCAGTCTTGCAAAGGCAGGACAATGGTGGAGATGATCCTGGATGTTTGCAACTCACCTTCTTCAAAACAACTTTGACAATTTGCGTTCGACTGGATTTTAAGCCTTATAGTATGGAAGCCTATTGGACAATATCCAGTAAGAACTCCTGCGATTGCGATAAGATGATCTTTACTAAGGGCGAGCAGTTCGGAAGATTTCCTACGTTCTACTTATGGCCAGAAAGAGGTCGCAATCGCACAGGAGCTAGTCATCGACCAAGTCTTCAGAATTAGCTATAAATATAATTGTTATAAGAACTGCACCTTGGAGGGGTATTACAGTTTCGGTTAAGTTCAATAGCAAATCCTCAAGATGGGGATAACATTTTAAAATATAACAATAACAATATATGTATATTGTTTCTAATCTTATTAGTCGGTAAAGCAGCTTCAGATCAATACAAACTTGCTTAGGCGTTTAATTTCTATTCCCACTATCTCACTAACGCGGGACCATCATATAACGAAGTTTTGAAATGTTTCCACCTCGCCTTCCTCCATACCTGTACAGCTTCTGCAGCTGACTTCTTGTAAGATTCTCAATCATACTAGAACGACCACAGTCTTACTGAGAGCAGAGCAAGAGCTTACTGGATCTCACGAAATTGACCATGGACATAAAGGATTTTGCCACAGCGCAAGAGCCGTTGGTAGCACATATGCCGTTCCAAAGATTCGCTCATTCAAAATCTGGAAAAATCCGACATCACATCGCCGCTACTTATGCTCCGTGAAGCGTAGTTATAAAGTAGTGCATAAATATCCAGCTCATCTATGCAGTTACCTACGGTTCAGCACTGCCAAGTTAAATTTAGTCTTATCATAAAGTATGCGCGAGCTCAACTCGTCTAAAGTCTGAAGGATGCTGTACTCTGCTGTACTGTAAATCTACCGCTAAGTTAGCATATTATACAATTTTTCTTATATCTATTTCAAGCACGGCATGTGTCTCAGGGCAAAATAAGTCGACCGTACGATCATAGAGTCTTTTGCTTTCTTAAGCATGTCAGAAAGTCATTAGATCACCTAAAATAAAAATGTTTAATGAAATATAAAATGCATTTTAAACAAGCATTAATTCTTTCGTTAAACATTGTGACAAAACAATACCCGGTCGAATAATAGAAGTTAAACGCAATGCTCAAGAACGTAGGGTTAACAGAAAAGAATTGATTATTACACTGGTTACAAATACAATCTGATTGACGGTTTTCATGCCTCAATGAGTTCATTCAGTGGCGTAGCTACAACTTCGGGCGCCCGGGGCCAAGGATGTTCTGCCGCCCCCCTTTATCTGCCTACCTAAAAGTTTCAAGAGGTGGTTCGAACAAAAGTGAATATTTACAAAATATCTTCGTATTAAGTATATAAAATATAGGAACTAGAAGCCACGCAAGTTTTGAAGTTCCTACAAGACATTAGCGAAAGCTTTAATAATACTACTCGCTATACCTGTATCAGTTGCATCTTGTGAAAGATCTTTTAACAAACTTAAATTGATCAAATCTTACTTGAGATCGACCATGAGTCAGAGTAGACTGGCCAATCTTGCGATTCTCTCAATAGAATGTAAAACTGCTTCAACTTTAAATTACAATGATATGATATGTGATTTTACAGCGATCACAGCTAGAAAAGTGCATCTTTAAGTTCTGTAGTATTAGTATTTTCCATTGTTATTCAGATTATTACATTGTGAGTGTACAACTCTCTATCTTTTATAATAAATGTTGCAAAAAAAAATTGTTGAAGTATTTTTTTGAATATTAAAAAACAGCGAATATCGTTTTTCCGCCCCAAGACGTTGCGCACGGAGCGACGGCCTCCTTCGCATCCCCCCTAGCTACGCCACTGAGTTCATTTTAGGGCTGGTGTCAGATTTTTCATTTCTTTCATATTGAAAACTCTAGTGTGCAATTAAATAAGATTTCATAAAATACATAATGGAATACAGATATATACAACTTACGTTTCGTTACACTGTGCGACAGACTTTATCAGCTTAGCAACGAAAATTATTGGACTAAAACTGCGAACAAACTAATAAAGTAGTGTTTATATTTGATTTATGACAAGAAACAGTTTTATGGTACATTTAGTACAACTTCAGTATGTGAAATGTGTTTTCAGACATGAGTTGCCCTCATGACGGTCAATTTTAACACTAGTACTTTGCTACTAGACAATGGAAGATTTAAAACAACCTCTGTCTTGATGTTTTTTGATGTCGTGTGCCAGTGCGTATAGTTAGCATTTGAGATATTCATTAAAAAATAACGGAACCTAAGTACATATGTTAGCTTATACTCACACAATTCCAAAACTAAATAGGAGTATTCCTTATCAGCATTCGACTTTATATTATAGTACCTAGGGAATTTTTGCAATCACGTTTCAGAAACTTATATAACCGTGTCTATTAAATATATATAAGAATCCATCATCTATGGGGAAGGTCATCAGCTCTTATTCGCAAAATATGCTTAAAAGATTTAGATTTCGCTAATTTTCACTAGTCATCAAAGTTCAAAACAGACCTGATAATAATTGATAATAAAATACGTTTTGAATATAAGTAAGAGTTAGTTTGAGAGGGGGGGAGAGACAGGTGTAAAACAAATGGCGCATCCTGGTGACATTGATCCTGACTCTCCTGGTGGTCTGAAAAAAAAAATCAAAGGAAATTCTTAATCAGTATGGATGATGTTATAGTCCCTACCTCAGGGAACATGAATTTTTTTTTTTTTTTGAAAAATGGGACTGCCTAAAAATAAAAATAATTTTTTACGCTTTTTTTTGAGATTCCTGAATTTTTTTAAAATATTAAAAACAAAAATTTTGACACGATGCCGTTAGGAACGATAAAGTATTATATAAAGAAGGTTCACACAAAATTTCAAGTAAATCGGTTGTATAGAACTTGAGATAATGCCTGTACCGTGTGGAAAAAAGTAGTTTCGAGAAAAACGTAGTTTAAAAAAGTGAGTATACCTACCTATCGGGCGAGGTACTGCGTCAATAAAGTAACTGTAGCTCTTAAAATAATTTTAATTTTAAAAAATCCTTTGGAGGATATGTTTTAAGGGTCTAAACTTTAAATATATGTAAAAAAAATCGAATTTTACAAAATTCTAAATTAGAATACCCGCTTAACGTCAGACGTAGCTTTATTATTTATACGAGCTGGAGTTTGAAATTTCATTGTGTATCGTTTTTAACGACTTATGTATGTATTTCATGAGATGGTTCGATAGTCAAGTGATTGGCACTCTAGGCAATCTGATAAACTAGAAATGTTATTAAAAGCGTCTGCAATTTCTTCGAACTCCTCTCTTATTTGTTTCACACTTCTTTTAGTTATTTATAGAAGTTTTAACAACTTAGATATAATTATTTATTATACTCTTCATCTTTATTGGCATTGACACCACTTACGCGGTTATGACCGAATTTACAACAGCGCGCCAGTCGTTCGTCCTTTTCGCTGTTTGGCGTCAATTGATTTCATGTGTAGCCAGGTCCTTCTACACCTGATCCTTCCAATGGATTGGAGGTCTTCCTCATCCTGACGGATCCCCCGGCGGGTACTACGTCGAATACTCTAAGAGCTGTAGTGTTCTCATCCATTCAGACGACATGATCTAGCTAGCGCAGTCGCTGAAGCAGGCTGAGGAAGTGCTCCCTCCATAATTTCAGTATGCTCGGCGCATCAGTCAATACATCACCTTTGGAGATGAAAACTTTTGTTTTTAAGAGAAAAAATGTTTGCAAAGTTCAATTTGATTAGCGATTAGACTGATCTTTTCAATATTGTATTTGTAGTACGAATTGTTTTTGATCTTAAAATAATGCTCAGTCTATGCGATTTTTGATGTTTTCGATTCGCCACTTCTCTGCTCGGCTCTGCTCTCTTGTCAAAGAAATTGCATGTAAAAGCAACA